AGGCCTGGAGTTGCCTACCCCTGATCTAGACAAATGATGCATGACTGAATGTCAGAGCAGAGCAGTAAGTTCTCAGGACCTCCCTGGTCTGTTGCAGGTCTAACTTAGACAGGCAGCCATTCACCTTTACATTCACACAATTTAGAAATCACCATTTAACTTAATATGCATGTCTTTGGACTGTGGAAGGAAGGCAGAGGACCCAAAGAACCTAACCAGTAGGTGGATTCAGACTCTTCTTGCTGTGAGGTGACAGTGCTAATGAAATGGCCACTGCTTTTAATCACAGAAATGAAGACAAGAGGATAAGTTTTATATTCATATATATTTTATTAAAAACTGTTTCCTGACAGTTTAGAAATGCTGTTTATAAGAGACTCTAACGCGTATAGAGTGGATGTTTACAAATGTTATTGTATAAGCTCTGATGACACTCTCCCCCTTTTTATTACTTTACTAAAAAAAAAAAAGTTTCTGTTTCTGGGTTTGTTCAAATGTGACATCAACACACAGAGACTGCGTGCAACAAACAAACAGACTGCAACAAAATGCAGTTTTTTTAAACATGTTGAAAGGCTGAGAACCCAAGTGGGACAGTGCGCCATGCATGTCCTACGCTGCAAAGAATTTCAATCTGTGCTGCTGCAGTCTATCTCAAACAGGAGGATATAGAAGGCACAAAGTCTGCTAAATGCAAGAATGAATATTTCCTTAGAAATATATAGTTCATGTGTATTGCCTACAGTGTTTTCTCATTAAAAAAAAGCCCCATGTATTAAAAATAAAATTATTTTGAAGGGTATGAAGGTCTCTGATAACAAACCCTGACTCCCAAAATTAAATGCAGCCTGCGCTTTTTAAACAATAAATCTTCCTATTTTATAAATATTAGCTCTCGGCTTTAAAAAACAACAATAACAACAACAGCAAAAAAAAAACAAAAAAACAAGGTCAGCGTTGTTCTTTAATGTACACAGTTTTACCCTTTGTCCACTTCCTATGTGGCTCAACAGGCCAAAAACCCTATATACAATAATCTTCATGACACTTCCAGTTGTCTCCAGGATGTTTGTTATTTAAGAATCTCTTGACCAGAGAGATGCATTTAAAGAATGTCCACTTCCTGTTTCTGTTAAAGCCTGATTTTCACATTAAAAGCCCATGCTGTTACACGTATGAACTCTCCTCAGACATTAGTGCCAATCACACATGATTGGTATTTTATGTTATTTGTGTACAGCCAGTATGAAGTTTGTTTCACACGGATTCCTTCGCCCAACAGCGTTTGAAAAATCATCCCCAGACTTCCGACTTCCAAGGATTTCCGAGGGACTTTAAAAAGCCCTGTCAACTGTTTGGTCTCACTTCCACACACGTGCTTCTGGACTTGACCTTTGACCCGCAGCTGCTACTCGCTTTTTGCACCGCTGAGCATCAGAAGCTGAAAATAAGTTCAGAAAAAACAGTTCTTGGAGAGCTAAAGGAGTCTGGCTTCCAAGCAGAGTTTGTGACGCTCTGCAGCAGGCTTCAGTTTAAAGTAGACAGTCCACCTGGAGTCCTTCCTGAGCTGGTAACCTCTGACCTGTGATCAATCAGGGGTCGTAAGTTGTCTTTCAACTGGCTCCGGGGCTGTCACACAACTTCACTACTGAAAAAAGGGGGGATTACTGCTCGAGAATCATTGCCTCCTGGAAGGCTTCGATCCATCTGAAAGTAAGAATGCCAAAAACAGAAAATAAGCTGAATTACTATTGAGTTTTAATGCACTCGGATCAACTTTTTGATCTTATTCACAGCAAGATCTGTTTAAGCAATAGTTATTTATGTTATTTTCTGACATCAAAATGTAGGGAAAGAAACCGCCTAACCCACATGGTGATGTGGATGTTTACCTAAGTGTCACTTTCTGAAGATCAGAACAGATCAAACATCCC